CATTATATAAAGTAATTAATTCCTACCTTTTATGTTTAAAATAGAAATGAATCAACATATATAGATGTCACTTTATTTTAGACTTCATGGGCACTGTTTTACATGTATTTACATGTTTTCTTGTTTAAAGCACATTGTATAATCCATGTTTTCATTTTTGACAAATCATACTGCACTGAATATCATGTAGTTCCTGTCCGTTTCGCATGCTATTTATTGTGTGATCCAGGGATAAAGCAGTATCCAGGTTTTTTTTTATATCTGCATATAAAAGAATTCATTTTTTTCTAATCTTTTTGAATTTCCATAATTGGTAAGGTTGAATAAAGACACAGGTTCTTTTTTTTTTTCCTTTTAACCTATTGTATATGTGTGTACGTATGTATTCTCATTGAATATTTTTAAAATGCATCTATTCTCTCCACTGATACCTTAAGATGCAGAGGGAGTTTGACATCTTTACCACATTAACATTAAAGAACCCCTCTATGCAGTTTAAGATTGAACAACTTTTCATCTACCTTCATTGTGTGGCCGTGAGTCTTGTGTCAACCTTAGATTAAACAATGCTACAGTCTCAGTTGAAAAATGTGTTTATTGCAATCTTCCGTTCATAAGTGCCTCTTCTCCAGGAAGAATAATTTTTGTAGCTGTTCCTCAGTTTGAGGTCCTCCAGCCCCCTTATTAGTTTAGTTACTCTTCTCTGGATTCTTTCAAGTTCAAGGACATCTTTCTTGAGGATTGGTTGACCAAAATTGGCCTGCATACTCAAGATGAGGTAAAACCAATGTGTTTGGAAAGTAGTAGAATTATAGTTTTGTTTATGTTAATGCCATTTATAATGCATGATAATAATCTGCTAGCCTTGCTTGTTGCAGCTTGACATTGCATTTTATTACTGAATCCATAGTCTGCAAGAACCCCCAGCACCTTTTCCATCATGAATTTCCACAGAGTTTCTTCCGATATTGAGTTTCAAGATCGAAAAATACAGATAGTGGCGAGCGCTCATATAAGTAGCGGCTGGAACACTGAAGGAATCACACAATCCTTATATCAAAGTACTAAATAAATAATAGTGCAGCGCTGTCAATCATAAAAGTTCAATAATAAAAGATGCAAATAATATATATCCAAAAACAGCATCAAAGATAAATTAAAAAGGATGTAAAAGTTCAAATAAATCATCAAGTATGCAGCACCCGAAAGACACTTCCTCTGCTGTAATACGTATCACTGGTGAAGAAATAACAGAAATGCGCACTCACCGACCGCGCATAAAGGAAGCGCATGTGTATAATATATCCGTGGTATTAGATGGCACCGGATGGACAGCAGGACCCTCTCCAGGAAACAGATCATCCAATTTGGGTTAAGGAATGCAGCAGGACTCAGAGGTCTCCCTTAATGTCGGATAAACAACCTGGATGGATGGATAAATCCTCTGGATACAGACACTGCTGTGGATCTGGAACCCTCAATAAGGAGGGTTAGAACAAAGAGGGGGTGCCCATAGTGTAGTAGGTAATGTTTATTTAAACAAATTATGCCAGCAAATAGGGTTCAAGTACAAATGTATACATGTATAAATGTATACATGGATAGCGTACTAACCCTAGAGTGAAATGGCCGCCGGACCTCCTCGTGGTCCCGGCGGCGTATGACGTCACACGTGCTGTCGGCTCCTCCTGAGGCCTTTTGTGCTACGGCAGAGGGGAGGCCATTTCACTCTAGGGTTAGTACACTATCCATGTATCTCTATACATTTGTACTTGAACCCTATTTGCTGGCATAATTTGTTTAAATAAACATTACCTACTACACTGTGGGCACCCCCTCTTTGTTCTAACCCTCCTTATCAAGGGTTACAGATCCGCAGCAGTGTCTGTATCCAGAGGATTTATCCATCCATCCATCCAGGCTGTTTATCCGGCATTAAGGGAGACCTCTGAGTCCTGCTGCATTCCTTCACCCAAATTGGATGATCTGTTTCCTGGAGAGGGTCCTGCTGTCCATCCGGTGCCATCTAATACCACGGATATATTATACACATGCGCTTCCTTTATGCGCGATCGGTGAGTGCGCATTTCTGTTATTTCTTCACCAGTGATACGTATTACAGCAGAGGAAGTGTCTTTCGGGTGCTGCATACTTGATGATTTATTTGAACTTTTACATCCTTTTTAATTTATCTTTGATACTGTTTTTGGATATATATTATTTGCATCTTTTATTATTGAACTTTTATGATTGACAGCGCTGCACTATTATTTATTGAGTTTCAAGATCAATTTAAAGCACATTGCTCCGTTAAAGCCACTTTAAAACTGCCTTATGTCCACCCTCCTCATTGACACAATTTTTACCAAAAGTTCAGGGAAATTTCATGGCAATGAAAAATCTAAAATTTGTTCAACCCTGATGCACACAGTCTTGAGTTTTTTAAAACTCTTGGCTTTAAATGTATCAAAAGGAACTATGATGCAATCCCAGAGATGGGGGCTTCAGCTTTTAATCACTTACAGGTTGGATACCTAAAATGATCATAAAAATATGTACAATGTGGAAGTATGCACAAATATGTGTGTAAGCTAGTGGTGTTGTGGTATTGGTGAGGGTCTTTGCTACTGGAACCACCAAATGTTCCTACAAACCCAAATCGGGTTGTTACCTTGTGTTAGGTGTTTTTGCGAAATTCTAAAAAAAGGACAGGTCTGTTTGTTTGTGAGTCATTTGTGCAAAATGTTGATGTAGCAAAGAAGACTGCCCTGGGTAGACAGGCATTATTTAGAAAGTTACCACTTTTCCTTTAAAGTGAACTTGTGCCAAAATCATGCACATAAAAGTAATCCCATATTTAGAAAATGCAATAAGAAATGAAAAAAAAAAAAAAAACATTTGATAAAAGTTTGAAATTTACTTTGTATTAAAACCATCAGTAGTTTTTAGCTTAGCACATTGAGTACAAATGAACCTTGCAAGGATTTAACAAACTTTGTTGCATATTCCTACTTTTTTCTGTTCTAGAAAAAAAAAATGTTGTTCTTCTATGTCTTTTGGTTGCTGATTCTGAATGGAAGTGACTTTTATATTATTAATCAGTTTATGCACTTGCAGTGTTGTAATGAGGAGAGTAGCAGGGTCTGAATATCTTGAGAAGTGATTAACTCTTTAGGAGCATTTCACCAAAACTGACATTTTTGTTGCAGAGAATACCTAAAATTTGACTTGGATCTTAGGGCAGAGCCAGGCTTTGTGTTGTGTGTGTTGACTGGCAACATTCAGCTGGCATCGGCAACATTCATCACAGTGCGGTCAGCTGTATGTGAGACACAGACAGGAGTGCTCACTACTCACTGTTATGTTCCACTGGGGGACATTTTAGATGCTTTGTTGTACAATTTAAATGTGAGTATAATGATTTTGTGTTGATAAAAGGCTTTTAATCCTATGATATCAAACTATGGGGTAGATTTACTAAAACTGGTGCAGTCAGAATCTGGTGCAGCTATGCCTGGTAGCCAATCAGCTTCTAACTTCAGCTTGTTCATTTAAGCTTTGACAATTAAACCAAAAGCTTTTTGGTTTCAATGCAGAGCTGCACCAGATTTTGCACTCTCCAATTTTAGTAAATAACCCAATATATAGCCTTTTCTTTGTGTGCTCGCTGGTGGAGAGATTACATATAAAGGGGTGGATTTCATCTTTCTTGGATCTCCTAAGTGCAATTGCCATATTTGTGAAAGTGTGGCAATATCTTTTGGTAAGGGCAGATCCATGTGGGTAAAGGACAGCACGTGGTGTTTGGTTTGGAGTTCTAAGGGTGGTTGACTAGTCATCACTACACAAAAGTGAAGAAAAAAAAGCTTTGCTGCATTTGTTTTTGATGTTTTTTTTTTTTCTTTTTTTGGACACTGTATTATTTTGTATCAGTTTCAGCTTATTCTTGGACACTTGAGTTTTTTGGAATTTATTTTGGAATTTTGGAATTAATGTACATTTATTACTACTATTAGTTTTGAAGTGATATAATTTAGGTGATATATTCATTTATATACTGCATATATTTAACTAGATGATATGTTCTGGTTTATTTATATGTTAGTGAAGACTTTTGGAGAAAATCAGTGAGCCAATCACCCAAGCAGGAAGTGACATTTCTGGGGGGGTTTTGTACACCAACTGTGTACAGAAAGCCCCAGGTTGACATATTTCACTGAATTTTACAGACAATTACAGCACTTTACATTGAAAAGGAAAGATAATTTTTAATAACATTAAGTTAAAAAATGGCTTGTGTTGCAATTGCATATACTATATTTTTTTCTGCAATATTTTTTTTTCCCACAAAAGTGGAGTTACTATTTAAGGCCTCATATGATGCCCACTTTGGGTTTAAGATATTTTAGTCTGCTACTTGAGCTGCAGACTGCCACAATTTTATGTTTATTTTTGGCCCTGTTGGCACTTTGCTTGCTGTGATGCCCACCCCTCATTGGACTATCCCAATTGTTTCAGATTTACTGAATTTCCTTGGTCACTGAATGACCAATAAAGAAAACAGTATTTCTGTACTTACCATAAAATCTATTTAAATTCATTGGGGGCCCCAGTCTCAATCCTCTATATTTTGTGATCTACTGTTGTGTACTGCTTATCTACAAAACTGAAGCATGCTGGGAGTAGGAGGGGTTTACCTGACTGGACAATAGCTTTTTTTGTTTTCCAGTGTCTAACTTTTCCTGTAGGTGGAAATATAGCCCAGTTAACTGAATCATGTGTCCCTTAATGAACTTAAATAGATTTTACTTTATGTACAAAAAAATCCTGTTATTTAAGGAAAGCTCTTTTGCTGTTTAACCTCCCTGGCGGTATTCCCAAGTGTAGCTCGGGGTAAAGTTTCAGTACTACAAGCGATAACCCCGAACTACACTCGGGAATACCATGCGGCGCTGCTCCGCGATCCCTCGATCACTTACCTTGTCCTGCGCTCCCGCAATGTCCCTCCTGCAGTGTCCCTGGCAATGTAATCCGGCGGATGCCGGCATCTGTCTTCTGGGTTCCATCTCCTGCGAGCGTCGGGACGTACGGGGGACAGAATGGCAAGAAATTTGAAAATGACAAAAAGTGCCATTTACTAAATTCACTACAATCACATAGTAAAATATTACTGTATGAAACCATTTCACATACATTTTGTCCCGAGTGCTTTGTCCTGTGCCCTGCCTGCATTTTTACTGTTCTTCCTGCCTGGAAACTGAGAAATGTCCATTGCGTCCAAAAAGCGTCCCTTTAGGTTAAAAGCGGTTTTAGACCAGCTAGAGAACAGCGATAGTAAATCAGAACCACTTGCAGAATTGAGTGATAATGATTCGTGGGGCAATTCGGCGCTATATTTCAAATTTCAGTGTTTTTGGTTTGATTATATTACTGAATTAAATTTATTATGATTATATTATTATTTTTTATGATTATTTATTAAATTATAATTTATGATTTCGTGTTTCAAGTTTTATCCGGGATGTTTACTAGACTCTTGTTCGGACAGATTTCAGTGAGTTATTCCTAAGAATTACAGGCCTACAATATAAAACGCCAAATTTCCATGTAAAATAATGGTACCGCTTTCAGCACCAAAAATCTGAAATAATTATACCGCCAGGGAGGTTAAGCAGGATAGTTAGCCACCATATCTACATAGATTATTATGATAACATTTTGTCATGAAAATTGTCTTACTGTTTGTTTGTCAATGCTCTAAGCCATTTTACATTACTATTCTTAGAGAAATATCTAAAATTAGATTCTGAAAACATTTGAGATTTCTTTGGCCCTCTTTCCCCCTTTACAGAGTATATGCAGTTTCTTTGATGTTCCCAGTGCTCAGTAGCCTCAAGAAAAAATGCATAATTGTATTTATTCAGTAGTGGTGTACCTTATGTGAAGCTACAGCATCCATATGGATGGGTTACCCAACCCAATCTAGTCTCTGGAAAAGGCAGTTGAGTCTTTCCAATTTAGGTGTCCATATCCAACCAGCCTAGAATATTTGGTAAAAGCATGCCTAGGACTATGGAAATGCTCATAAGCAGATGGCATATATGCATATACTTTGCAAAGGACCACATAGGTGATCAACTATCATTTTGGTTTGGAGAGATTTAATCATGGTTTGAAAGTAATTTATTTAGCAGCGTATTGAATAGAGTGTATTTCTAATTAAATGGTTAATTATCTCAGTGTAGCTTTAAAGTGGTTGTAAAGCATTAAGATTTTTTTTTTTACCTTAATTCATTCTATGCATTAGGGTAAAACAAAAACACCTGTACTGCAGGATCCCCCAGGCCCCCCCCTACCTTATTATTCCCTAAGCCTGACCCTATCCAGTAATGTGCATAAGAGCAGCTGTTATTGCTGCTGTCTCCCTCCTCCCTGGGCAGATTGATAGCAGTTGGATCCGATTGTTTAATTATAATTTTTGCACATCTGCATTTGTATTTGCCAGCTTCAAGTAGCTCATGACCTAGGTCAATGATCTTGGGTCCCTTAAGCAGCCACAACAAGAAATTAAGGTGGTTCAGGCCTCCTTGAAATGGGGAGATCCAAAACTGGGAATGACACAAAGAAACGGGGTGCACAAGCCTAGTGCAGCTGGCCTGTTGTTAGTCTCCATTTGAAGGTGGAGAGTGGTCCACACTGTGCGCTTAATACAATACATGCTTTTAGCTCACTTTGGTTTGTGAGTAGAAACTTTCATTATTTCTATTTTTAATATAGTGTTGAAGATAATACGCTAGGTGTGTGCACCCTTTCTGTTTATTCGTGTATAAACCAATGTGAATCTCTTGCTCCAGTATGTGATAATCTGTATAGAAACTGGCTTCCCAAGAAGATCAAACAAATGTTCCTTCAGATAAATCCTGAAGGACAGCACCACTGGTTCCATTGCTATTTGCTCTCATGGAACTCGTATCAATCAAGAAAAAACACCAAATAGATTTGATATGGATTTTAAACAGTAATACTTTTGTTCCTATCAGTCTTCTTTAAAGTACAGATCTGAGGTGCTTCCAGATTATAGTTGTTCATCTATGGACATCTACATTTTTGTAGCTCCTTCAAAGTTAGCATTTACCTCTTTGTTATCTAAATAATGTCCTCCTTGGTTACTATGTTTTGATAGCCTTCTCTATGCAGACTAACTGCCCCTGCTTTCCACTTGTAGTTATTGGTGTCACTTTTCCCTCCATGCAATAGACACCAAAGGTGAGAACTTAACTGAACATATCACTACAGGACATCAGAGTCAAAAAGCTCACAAGTAGGTTATATAGACTTGACTTGCTGGTATACAATTTGGTTTCATGATCTGAAGTCATAGTGCCTGTTACACACATCTTAGCAGGGCTATTGTGAGGGAACATTGCATACACAAGGAATGGACAAATGTGCAGCTTTTGCAATGTGTGACAGCTCACATGCTGATGTAGCAATTGTATTTTAAGAGGGCCAGTTTGTTAGTGTAGAGAGGAGAAATTTGTCACAGTCAGAGAGAAACAGACTATGCCTTTTCAATTTTGTGCACCTCTGCCTGTGGCAATTCGAAAGTGATGTTTTCAAATATACATTGTCATACACCCCTAGAAAAGAATTCTCTTGATAAGCTTGATGTCCTCTATTAAAGAAATTACTGGCTAAGTGACAAAACCACTACAAAATATTTGACACGAACTGGCAACAAATTGATCAGAGCAGTCAATGATTTTAATTTTAAAGGCTTATTTCAACTCTAATGGCATTTTTTACAAAATTCCATATGCATTGCATTAAGTGTACAGTAAAATGCTGTCTTCTACCATGTGCTTCCCCTCTCTATCCTGCCTAGAGGACAGGATGTATGACCATTGCATGCACAGCCCCAACATTTCCCTTTACAAGCACTTGGCCATAAGAATGGCACTTGTCTAACCACCCATGCAGTCCACTCTCACAAAACACTTCAGCTGCTGCTGTGAAAGAGCGGACTCCATAACCGTTGTTCGGCAAGCCTTAATCTTGCAGCCACGTGGTAGTTTTTTGAGGCGTCAGGAGCCATGTATACAGTGGTCAGACAGAGAGAAGCACCATGGTAGAAGCAGCTTAAAAATAGGGAGCATTTTTAAAAATGGAGAGCTCTTTTCAAATTACATTTAAATCTGTAATGCGTATGGCTCTTTTTAAAAATGTCATTAAAGTTGAAACGTTTTTTATTTATTTATTTTTTTTTGCAACCATTGAAGCATGTCTGATTTGTTGGAGTCTGATACTAACTACAGAAATATGTTTGATTGCTCTATCTCACTTTTTGGAAATAAAAAAAAAAAGCAGTTCTGATCCTTAACCACTTGCCTACCAGGCACTTATACCCCCTTATTTACCAGGCCAATTTTCAGCTTTCAGAGCTGCCGCACTTTGATTGACAATTGCGCGGTCATGCAACATTGTACCCATATGAAATTTTGATCATTTTTTTCTCACAAATAGGGCTTTCTTTTGGTGGTATTTAATCACCACTGGGCACTTTACTTTTTGCGCTATAAATAAAAAATTGCCAAAAATTTGAAAAAAAAAAAAAAAGTTTCTTTGTTTCTATTATAAAATTTTTCAAACAGGTAATTTTTCTCCTTCGCTGATGTGCGTTGATGAGGCAGCACTGATGGGCACTGATAGGCGGCACTGATGGGCACTGATAGGCAGCACTAAAGGGCACTGATAGGCAGTACTAATGAGGTGGCACGGATAGGCGGCACTGATAGACAGCACTAATGAGGTGTCACAGATAGGCGGCACTAATATGTGGGTGGCACTGGTGGGCAGCACTGGTGGGTGGGCACAGGTGGGTGGCACTGGTGGGCACAGGTGGGTGGGCACAGGTGGGTGGCACTGCTGGGCACAGGTAGGTGGCACTTCTGGGCACAGGTGTGTGAAATTGCAGAGTGGCACAGGTGGGTGCACTGCTGGGCACAGGTGGGTGATCTGCTGGGCACAGGTGGGCGGAGCTAGTGGGCGCACTGCAGGGCACAGGTGGGCGGAACTTGCGGGTGGCACTGCTGGGCACCGATCATCAGGGCACTGATCATCAGTGCCCTGATGATCGGTTCCGATCCCCGCTCTGACAACTGCCGGTTCTCGGCAGTACTTTCCTCACGATCTGACAGCGTGAGGAAAGTGCAGCCGAGAACCGGCACTTGCATTTCCCTCTGATCAGCGTGTCATTGGACACTGCTGATCACGTGGTAAAAGGCCGCTGTGATTGGCCTTTTACCACATCACGTGATCAGCTGTGTCCGTAAGACACAGCGATCACGGAGATCGCCGGGTGCGCGCCCCCTGGGGCGCGCAGGAGAGCGCGTTCTGGGGGGACGTCATATGACGTCCACTCAGAACTGGCCGGCCGCAGTGCAGCCGTCATTCGGCTATCTGTGGTCGGCAACAAGTTAAAGTGGAACTTTAGTCAGAAAATTGAGTCCTGATAGATCACTGCTGGCCCCTTTTGCATGTATAGTGATGTAAAACATTAAAAATGAGTCCCTAAACTGTTTAAAATTTAGTAAGGCCCATCTCACCCTTCTCTGCACAGCCTCAGTTGTCCTGCATTCTTGGCACTGTATCAATAATCGGTGAGTCACTAGAGGCCTGTTTGCCAACAGCCTAAACATTTAGTGCTGAAGGGAAGAGGGAACAGGTATGGCACAGACTGTGTCAAGGAAGGAAAGATTAAGGAGAGGGAAAATAAAAGCAAGAGAGGTGACAGGGCAAACTCTGTGTCAGGGCTCCGGGTATGACCAGAGGTGTGTGGACTGACACAGGGAAATGCAGGCTTCAGGTATAGAGTAAACAAGACAATTTATTAAAGACTAAACAACACAAACGCAGTGCAAGGTAAACATAACACAGTGCAAACAACCCAACCTCCAACAGATAACCATATATACAAATCAAATGTAGTCAAGCAGGCCGGGACAGTAGCAAACGGGGTACCAGGAGCGAGCGGAAGAGTGGTCAGGAATAGCCGAGGTCAGGGCAGGCGGAGTTCGTTCAGAGTCAGGATCAAAGCATAGTCAGGATCAGGCAGGAAGCAGACAGGATGCAGGTACAGGGGCTCATGGGAAACATACACCAAGGCCAGGGGCGGACTAACAACTCATGTGGCCCCCGGGCAATAGGGGATCATGGGGCCCCTGTGTCCTTGCCCAAACTCAAAAAAAGCCTATGAAAAAGGTACCAGGGGCATCTCATGGGGCCCCCTACTGACCCCGGGCCCTCGGGCAGTGCCCGAGTTTCCAAATGGTCCGTCCGCCCCTGACCAAGGCATTGACTGCAGGCCTGGCCACTCCTTAAATACACCTCCTGCAATCAGCCTCAGGTGATGACTTGATTGCAGGAGTGAGCTTCTGGCTGCCGAGTGCACCCACTGGCCAGCCCTGGTACTGCAGCCCACACGGCAGGTGAGTCCCACCACCAGTGGTGAGTCCATTCCTGACACTCTGCTGCTAGGAAGACACAAAAGAGTTAAACTAATAAGGATAGTGCCTTATCTCCCTGATATGCTTTCCCTTGGCAGTGCTATGACCTTCAGCATTGTAAAACGTCTGCAGCCTTGCTCTATAGCTAAGCCAACACATACAATCAAGGCTGGAAATGTGCACGTTTTAATTGCAGAAAGTGACATCAAGGTTTTGATACTGAGTTCTTAGCAAGGAAGGGACTTCTCTGGGCTTCACCAAAATGGTGAAGAAGAAACAGGAGCAGTGCTGGAGGTAATTAACAGCACACACTAATTTTGGTAGCATAATTATATATGTGGAATGTATGCTCATTTGTTAAATAACATTAATTGTTATCAAATTGTTATGGGTAAAGTTCTGCTTTATATCTTCAATGGAGACGTACTGCAACTACAGCTTGAAAGCCACTGTTGGTAATGGGACCTAGAAGTCAGAAGACTTGTGTGAGGATGGACAGGCATATCCTTGCTCATTATTTTTGGAGAGATATATGAACACCTATGTGAAGCCTGAGATGCCCTTTTTTAATTTACGATTGTACTGCTTTTTGGATCCAGTGTATATGCCTCTGTAATATAATCTGATCCCATTGCTTTTTAATAACTGATCCACCACAGTCTGCTAGCTGTCATATATCGTTACTATTACTACTACTATTCTTGCTTCACAAATGCTGTGAATTGTGGGTATTAAATACGAATGTTTCACATCCACTTGTCTTGTTTTTTTGCTGCACAATACTGCTTTTATATCTAAAGTACATAAGGTTGCTAGTGGACTTTCTCTCTATGGCTATGTTTATGCATTATATGGGCTCAAGGCAGGCCCATCTTCTTATAGCCACTATGTAGGATCAAATTGTATTGTTACCATATCCCTTTTTATTTGCTTAACATTTCAGTTTTGGCTTAGGAAAAAGCATTGCTATCCAGCAAACCTTCTGGCATTGCCATAGGTATAAGAGTTTAAACGCTGTTCTTTCTGGAAGAAGCAATGACTTGTTACTGTGTTCATAAATAAGGGATACTGATTGTTTATTTACAATTAAGATGCTTAAGTGTTCAGTGGGTGAGATGCCTACTGTGAGTAATGCAAAATTCATGCTAATCTCCTTAATCTAGTGATCCAGCATAGAACCCTACAATATTTGGTAAATTCCGATTGCAAAGTTGATATCTCTTGAGCACAAATAAATTATTTCTCTTAATTCTTACTTGATGCACTTCTCAACTTAAAAATGTTTAACAAATACATTGGGGTTGGAAAACTGCAAACTTGAAGAATGAAAAATCACACAGTAAAAAAAAAAAAAAAGAATGCTTTAGATGGAAATGCTTTTGTCCATTACCTAAGAAGTGTAATGTGGTACTATTTGTATTATCTTTCAAATTTATATTACTTTTTTTTAGATTCCTGTTTTAATAAACTTAAGCCAAGATGCAGATGTTGATCTTCCAGTTAAGCCACTTATCTTTGCTTTGGCAATTGGAGCTTGTTTTGGAGGTAAGAAACATCACTTAGCAAATAATAATGAATATGCTTGCCGAGTAAAACTTAACACATTATAGGCTTTAGTTCTTTTCTTCTTTTATGCATTTTTTTATACTACTAAATTTTTACTAATGTTATTGTTAAAGGGACGCTGTCTTTGAAATGAAAAAAAATCCAAATAATGACCCTCAAAGAGTAATGGTATAAAACTATCATAATACCATTTTGGGAAATGCTATCTTGGTCTTAGGAAATTTGTTGTGATGTGCTAAAGTATCTTTCAGTTATAAATTGTAAATCCAGACACTGGCCATAGAACTGCCTACTAGAACACTTTTTATTCAGCATATAGCATAAAGTCAGTTAAACTCCTGGGATATTGATCTGGTCAGTTAAGTAGCAGAGGGGGTTGTTAATCAGTTTCAGCTGCTTTGGTGTTAAAGTGTTACTAAACCCACAATAGTAAAATCAATCTGTAGCATGCTTGTTATACTCACTATGAAACCTAAAGGGTTAATCCTCTGCATTACGTAAAATGGCAGTTGGATCCTGATGGCCCTGTTTATCCATTTTTTTAAGCAGTCACCTCTTATCCTCTGATAAGACAGGAGAGTGCATGTGATCAGCACAGGGCCAATCAGCACTTGTCAGACAGAGTTCAGGGGTTTTGAATCTTCCTAGAGCAGAAAGAAAACTCCTCCAACAAGCTTTAGCTAGTACTTGGCTGAAAACTGATAGAAGCCACAAAACTACTCTAACGTCTGATTAGAAAAGGTATTTAGCAGTTTATATTTACTAATATAATTGCATTTCCATGTTCTGTGTACTGTGGGAGACCAGATATAGTGAATGCAGGGTCCTGGGTTTAGTAACACTTTAAGGAAATTAACAATAGGTGTACTAGATGGGCAACAATGAGATGACCCCCAAATCAGGAATGGTTTTACAGGTGGAGGCCATTTACTTTTTTTTTCTACTCACCTTTTCTGTCTGTTTTCACTAGTTTTGCATCTGGCTAGGGTCAGTGTCACTACTGGTAGCATGAGGTGATACCTGGACCCTACAGAGGTTGCAAAGGCAGTCCAACTCCTTTAGGTTGGCACATCAATACGTTCCATTGCCAGAAGGTTTGCTGTGTCTCCCAGCACAGTCTCAAAGCATGGAGGAGATTCCAGAAGACAGGTGGTTACTCTACGAGAGCTGGACAGGGCCGTAGAAGGTCCTTAAGCCATCAGCAGGACCGGCATCTGCTCCTTTGTGCACGGAGGATGAACGCTGCCAGAGCCCTACAGAATGACCTCCAGCAGGCCACTGGTGTGAATGTCTCTGACCAATCAGAAACAGACTTCATGAGGGTGGCCTGAGGGCTTGATGTCCTCTAGTGGGCCCTTTGCTCACTGCCTGGCACCATAGAGCTCGACTGTCATTTGCCATTGAAAACCTGAATTGGCAGGTCCACCACTGGTGCCCTGTGCTTTTAACAGATGAGATCAGGTTCACCCAGATGTGAAAGGGTCTGGAGTAGCTGTAGAGAACATTACGTTGCCTATAACATCGTTCAGGCTAGATAATGGCACCCTGACTGCCATTAGGTATCAGGATGAAATCCTTGAACCCATTGTCAGACCCTACACTGGTGCAGTGATTCCTGGGTTCCTCCTGGTGCACAGCAATGCTCTGCCTCATGTGGTGAGAGTATGCAGGCAGTTCTTGGAGGATGAAGTAATTGATACCATTGAATGGCCCCCACGCTCGTCTGACCGAAATTCAATAGAATACCTCTGGGATATCATGTTTCCGTCCATCCTACACCGCCAGGTTGCACCTCAGACTGTCCTGGAGCTAAGTGATGCCCTGGTCCAAATCTGAGAAGAAATACCCGAGGACATCATCCATCGTCTCATTAGGAGCATGCCCTGACATTGTCAGGCATGCATACAAGTACGTGGGGGCCATGCAAACTACTGAGTACCATTTTGAGTTGCTGCAATGAAATTTCAGAAAAATGGACTAGCTTGCTGTACAATTTTTTCACTTTGATTTTCGGGGTGTTTTTTGAATTCAGTCCTCTGTAGGTTGATAATTTTCATTTCCATCAAATGATGGGGCATCCTTACGTTCCCAGCACATTACCCAGTCCATATCAGTATAGATATCCAGCATGATATTTTTCCCCATTGGGATTTGATGTGTTT